TAAGAAAATTTAAATATTCACATTTTATATAATGAAAGATTCTTGATAATGAAGATGTTACGTTTTTTTATTAATCTAAATATTTTCTACGTTATTATAAAGTAAATTTATTTTCAGTTATAAAGCTAGTTATTTAATGTCTCACATGATTTCCTTTTCACTTCCATGTCTTTATTCATACAGCATTAAACCAGTGGAGTTAAAAGTATTTATATGTTAAATATGATATTTAATGAAAAGGAATAAAATCATGCAGATATTAATTACTTTAAATATAAGACAAATTGATATTGATGCATTAACTAAATGTTCTACACGTTTATACTGATAGCTATAACATTTATCTTAATTTGATATGTAAATTCCCCAAAATATTCACTTTTCATAATATTTCAATTGTACCGATTATTTGTGTTTTACGAGAATAAACGTTCAACAAACGTTTGTTCCTCTAAATTGCTTATGAGAGTTTAAAGTGTACCTTTTGATTCATCGCGCTCCATTATATTTTATATTGTATCATACACTCTATAACTGCATTCAAAATTTCATCCAGTACACATCCCAATGTTGTACTTTTACATCAAAATATACATGTTTTGTTTTCCTATTTATTATTTTTTCATATATTTTTTATTTTGTATGTCACGAAACCATTATACATGTAAAATCCGTATCCATGATTGTGACTGTTGTTCCTTCCGATGTTTTGTTATATAACAATTTTCCTAGAAAATCAACGAAAAACAAATATCTCGTTTTGTATTAAATTCAAGAAGTACATATTAAGAAAGTGTATTTCCATTAACGATAACATTTTTAAGCAGGGGTGCTACTATATTATGTAGTTAATACTTAGCAAAACATACAATCAACATTTATTTTTGGAATATGAAATGTCAGTAAGTTTTATTGTATAAAGAATTTTATTGTTATCATAAAAAATGTAAATTTTTATGATTCAATTAATTTCTTTTTAATATATATTTATAGATACATATGGAGAGCAGTAAAACATGTCACCATGAAATACTTGTAAACGATAGTTGACAAAGCCAATCAAATACTTGTATTATATATTAATGCGTATATATTATATTTAAAAAAAAAAGAACTAACGTTATATAATTTTATTTTACGCTTATAACTTGAGATTTTTCACCTAAATTAAAACAAAAATGTTTATTTAGTTTTAGAAGAGATATAAGTAATTATAAAACAGATTGCGGGGCACGACCAAAAATATTGCATTTTATTTCGTAAGTTCGTTAATCTTTCTTCCCCCATATAACTTATACATTTAAACAAAAATTGAAAGCTTTAAACGACATTCACATAATAAACATTTTGTCATTTGCATTATCAATGGCAATGTAGCATATACATTCCAATTTTCATTATATATATACATATATATATATATATATATATATATATATGTAATATATATTATGTATTTTTTTTAATCTTCGTAAAAATAAAATTTGACGCGAAAATTATACGCGACTAGCATGCATCGAACGAATATCTAAAAGTGTGTTCAATTATAGTGATATGAGTGATTGTAGTAAAACATAAACAATACAATTGTTATCATGGTTATATGTTCCAAACTGTACAATACGGAAAACTGTCACAATCAACCGAAATATTTCCCATTATGATATGTAAATACAGACGCATATTATACATAGTAATTGAAATGTAATAACTCACATTATGGAAAAGACAGTAAGATGACATCCATGTATGTATGAAAATACACATTTAAATTCTTCCTTAGATTCTTATTAGGGACAGATGTCTGAAATCAATTACTATAATCAATTTGAAACGTAACAGACTAACAGAGATTGTTCGTGCTAACAAACCGGATTCTAAATTACGTAAAATGTGTGGTTTAGGAAAACTGTTTAGATTAATTTAATATGTTACGTCTTTCTGTTATTATAATTAACTAATTAAACAATTACGATTATTAAAGTTTTAGATTTCAAACCTGCCTTCATCGAGGAAGGTTCTATATAAAAGGAAATTGTTAAGTTTTATATGCACTTTTAATTATAGCACGAGTTGTGTCTCTGAGTTAAGTTGTATGTATGTAACAAAAGGATTATTCTCTCGACTATAGTCTGTGTAATCACTATAACTTGCTGAATACCCAATTTAGGAAATTAATTGTCGATGTTGCTAGAGTTTTGTAAATATTTATTCGCTTTATATAGAATTGCGATATGGAATTTTGATTATGATATCTAGTATTTAGAATGAAAAGAGAGAGTGTGTCTATGTATGTGTGTTTGTGCATCTGCATGTGCGCGCGCGCGCGGGTGTGTGTGTGTGTGTGTGTGTGTGTGTGTGTGTGTGTGTGTGTGTGTGTGTGTGTGTACATGGAAAAAAAGAGAGAAAGAGAGAGAGATTTATAAAAAATTTTTCAAAAAAACGTGCGCGTGGCTAACTTTATCAGTTAACTTTGGAATGTGATAACTGGTAAGCTAGACAATTAATCATAGGCATAGCATATCAAATATCATAGTATCAAATTATGCTTGTGATTATTTGACGAGCTCGTTCTTCACTTACTTCCATTTAAGGTGTGATTTTTGTAATGCTAGTGATTTGTATTACGATACAGTTCACCATCATCAGATAGAAACGCAATATTTTTGAGATTGCTGTAATAATTACGATTCCAGTATCCAATTATGTCTTCTTTACATATCGGCCAATTACAGGAATATTGTTTTTTTTTTTTTTTTTTTGTACACGACGAAACACCGAAGTGAATGTAACTATATATATTTCAATACAATTTCTGGCTTTAATTAAAGATAAATCGTAACTCCTTTTTTATTTTCGACATTATTTTTTTAAAGTATGCAGAGTAATAAGAATAGGTGTAGTCGTGTTTGCAAAATAAATACTATTGATACCATGGAAAGTAGAAAATACTTCAGACCGATCTACTAAACAAAAATTTTGTGAAACAAAATAATCTCCCACAGATATGTTTTATAAACATGAAAATATTGATATCTGAAGACAGCCAAATAAAAATTCAATAATTATTTGTATTATTGTTAATTTGATTAAACAAGGCTAATTATAAGAAAGTATGTGTATTTATAAAATAGCGACAAATAGATACGTTATTGATATTATTTAAGATCACGTGTGAATGTTATATACATGTAATTTTTGATTTCTGAAAGTACTTTCTATTTTCGATATTATTACACAGATTCTTATAATTTTTCTAGTTTGCTATTATGTAATTATGGAAAAGATATTACAGCGCGATCCCTCCTCCCCCAAAAAAGATGATTATTTTAAAAATGCATCAGCATTGTGAAAAAGAGACCCATGTATGCGCGAAGTTCTATATAATTTATATTGGATTTATTCTCTAGCGAACCTGAAAATGATTTGTTTTAGTAAAATTTGAATCTAATTTCCTTTATCCCAATATATACCTTCTATAAGCTTTATTGATAATTCAATTGTAACTCATTCTTGCATTTTGCTGTTAGACAAAAACACTCACACCAATCAGCTTGTACTATATTTCGATGGTAGAATGAGATTCCATGTATATACATAAAGTGCATATTAAGGTAGTTCTCAACAATACCATCTGTAATATTTATTCTTTATTCAATTTTGTTATGTGTATAGGTCTAGATTGAAAAATATACGTAAATTCTTAAAACTAATATTATATTTTAAGCTTTTTATTAATTGCAATTAAAGAGAATAATTGCATTAAGAATTTTCTGACAATGCTGAAGTGTTTTACATCGAATTGAATGTAATTGCCTGAATGGGTGAGTTAATATTTGTAGTCAATATATGATCATATAACTCATCTGTAGCATGAGATAACGTATAATAGACTCTAATATATTCTCCCTACATTTTATTAATATTATTTTATTATTGTTTATTATTATCTTTGTTATATTAACACATGAAATGTAATTTTGATCTAGATAGATATCTTACCATTGAGATACCAATATCTTTCTAATGAATAAATAATCGTGAAATACATACGAAATGCGAATCGAGTCATAAACATTTTTAATAATTATTATACAAATTTAATTTCGTTTTTAACTTTAAGTAATATATATGCATTTTGTAACTAAATCAATTGGGGGGAAAGAAATATGCAGTGATGCATCGTAAATTAAGGTTTAAACAATTAAAATCATTTAATCCAATACACAATACATATTAAGATAATAAAAATAAAAAATGTTAGAACTATGAATGCATTTTAATCCCATTTACCGATCTTTTAAATGATATGTAGATTTTACTGATGATTTGCTTTTTATAAATTCAGGTACATCTTTTCTACTTATGTTATTATATTGTATTATCTATGCATTTTCGTAATATATATCAATTGTAATACGCAAAAATAGAAAAATATGGCAAATAAGAAAGTCGTTAGTAAAATCAAAACGTGTCCTATTGTCTTCCTATTGGATAGTTTGAAATGAATGTAGATAAAGAAAAAAGAAGAATATAAAGATCATTTCTTTATGTCTTTTTCTCTCTCTACAGACATATATATATATATATATATAATACATATGTTGTGATTCAACTGACATTTTGACAAAATGGCATGTTTTATATATAATATTTATACATATATATGTATATGTTATATATGTACATATGTTTATATGTATGTACATATACATATACATATACATATATACACACACACACACACACACATATATATATATATATATATATATATAAACTGTCGCTTTTGCTAGTGTATAACATCATATAGTAACAAACTATTACATTCCTGCCAGTTGTAATACAACAAAAATTTGTAGCTTTTCTCATGCGCGTAAATAGTTCATATACTTAAATCTACACAGTGTATACATGTAACAAATGTTTTTACAATATTACAATCCGTACATATATATATTTATAAGAAATAACTGGTATAATATACAAATGCATTTATGTTCGCACCCATTTAAATTTTATTTCGTAGGCGAGAACGAAGTTGGGTTTAATATGCGCGAGTGCATTTCTCTTATTAAAGGTACAGTATAAGCGACACACTCGTCCCAACCGGGCGATCTCCAAGCACTTTCACGCGTTTCTTTACGCGATTGAAGATCTTTGTAACCTGAGAAATAAAAACAAATATTATTATGCGATATATGCAAAGATGAATGAGCATAATGTACATAAAATAGCGTAATATAAACAATATGTGACTTCACACTTACACCAAATATGATGTACATTGTACAATCTACCAATTTGAGAGAAGTAACCAGCAAACGGTTCATCATTATTGCGTCTATAATTAATAGCTTTAGCCCAATTGTTTCCCCATTCTATCATCGTGCCTGGTTGCAAACTATAACTACGTATTTCATATTTGTTTGGCCCTTTCCTTTTTGTCAACGGTGGCCAATAACTAAACGCCAACAGATATTGCAAATGACGTGATCTTAAGTAATTCCCACGTTCCGTTTGCAGTTGTTGATAAGACTATGGAAATTAGATTTTAGTCATCAATGTTCATTGCAATTGATCTATTCTTTTCAGTTGAACTTCTTGTACTATTATCTTTTTTTTTCTCTCATTAAAAAAGACATGAGCAATGCGAAATATTGATGATTTGAAATATCAACTGAAAAGAATAGATCTATGTCTCTGACATCTTTTCTTTGTATATTACAAAAGATTTCATACCTCATCTTTAGAAAGCACAGTTTGTGTATGATCTATACGTTCGTAACCACCTGTGTACTGCCATAAATGTAAGGCCTGATCCAAGTCTCCTACTTCCACTGTCCACGAACCCACTAATTCGCAATTCAAATCAGATTTTTTTGAGTGTATCAGATTAACGTGTTCCTCACTGGAATGGCATAAAAAAAAAATAAGGAGAAAACATTTAGCAACACAGGCTTATTTAAAGTTTAACACGTTTAACATTAATATATATATTTTTCGATAATCTACTAAATCTACAAAAGGTTACAAAACAAGTACATACAAATGATATTCTGACTATATTCTGATAATACCAATTAAATATATAATATAATACTGTATGACAAAGAACACAAGTTTTACTTATATTTTAAAGATCACATATTGCAATATCTATAAAGGCTAATCTGCAATGTTCTTTGCTTTTACCTCTTGCCTTTTTCATTCTTTGCAACTATTTTATCAACATCATGTTCTTTTCAGACAGAATACAAAATCATAAGATCAAAATCAAATTTCAAGTTGAAATCATTTTAAAGAAAAACATGTCATTCAAAACATTTTTGGTGACGATTTTGTGATGAATTCTTGATACGATAATAATTTTAACTGATTTTTAATTAAAAGCAATTACAAAATTCATTGTCATGAATTCACAAAATCGTTGTCAAAGTATATCGAAAGACATCACTATGATTTTTCCTAAATTACTTCAACTTGGTATTGGATTTTGTCTTCTACTATTCTATCTTATCTTTTTCGAAATTCAACTTTTTTGTTTCTTATAATAGAAAATGGAAAAATGGAATAAGAAAAAATGCAAGAAGTAAAAATCAAAAAACATGAAATCAAGAGTACACTGTTAGATTAGCCTTATATAAAGACTAGCAAACTACTAATAATAAATTAAATTAGAAGCGTTGCATGCAGCTGAAGACAGATCGACCCTATTGCATCGAATTTATAGGTCAGTGAACCATCACGCACTCAGATGCAAGATCACAAAGATGTCGACTCACTAGTTGGCCAAGTATTTGTCAATCGAATCTGGCCGTATGTTTTGAGTGTGCAGTGCATAAATGACTTCCTTGTCAGAGAGCATTCGCGAGTGCGATTCTTTCGTAGGCTCGATCTTCCTCACCAGAAGTTTGCTCAGCCATCCCTCGCTGATGTCACAGCGGATCGACGATCTCGTCAGATACCTACGAATTAATATAGCTGTTAGTCAATCCGAGCAGCAGGTCCGTTACGGTTACGGACTCTCACGTACAGATCGCTCTCGCGTTAAGAAGTTAAAAAAAATTGAAAAAAATAATAACGACAATCATGTTCCGCACGAGTTCGCTTGTGCTTACCGTGCGGCTGCGAGCAACGGTAGATTCCCGTTACCGGCAAGCACGCTCGTCACGATACGAAATTCTCTCCTCAAAACGGCAGCCATTTCCTACTGGATCTCCACACACGAATCTTCCCGTCGTACTTCACCTTCACCCGGTCGTGTTCGCGACACTTCGCGATCCAGCTCCGGGAGTTGAGAGATTGCGGTGGGACTCGCGGCGCTCCCGATACTCTGCGGAAAGCCACCAATTCGAACGGTCGGTTTATTTATATTCGTAATCTGGTTGCGCGACACTTCGTGTTTTCTCTCTCCCTAAACACGAAAAAAAGCGAGACTTACCGTCATTGAGCTCGAGATGCGCGCAAATGCGTATGTATTGTGTACGCGACGAACGTTGATAAACACTTGGCCACGTCTGATGAAACGAATCGCACGCAAGCGCGTACAGTTTTAATTAAGAATATTACAAGTCTATTTTTTCATGATTCAGCTTTCCTTTTTTTTCATATTGGAGTTTGAGAAAAGGAGAAAAGATGAACTATGAGAAGTTGAGCTGAAAAACATAAGAGGATTATCATAACATTCCAAAATATGTCCTCTCAGAGGAAAATTTTACTTGATACAATATATATATATATATATTATACGTGACATGACTATCAAATAAAATTTGCCTTGGAGAGGACGTTTCGCAAGCGGAACAACAATAAATCATTATGTCGAGTCATAATGACTCCAAAATGAGAGTCATTAAAAATCATTTTTCAATCATTTCCGATTCATTTTAATGTCATGATTTTAATGTTATTGTTACTTTGTTTTGCTTGAATTTGGAACGTAATTTTAATTAAGCCTGTTCTACAATATGCTTTTTGTTTTCTGTTTCTTGCTTTTTGTTATTTTTTACATCTTGTCTTTTTGTTTCTTATCCAGTTTTTTTGTTTTTATCCCGAGATAAAAGTTAACGAATTTCGAAAAAAACCAGAAACAGGAAACAAAGAGAACATTGTAGAATAAACTTTAGTCTCGTTAAACAATAAATTTATGCGAGGTTTCAAACATAAATCTCTTAAGATGCTCAAACAATTATACTTATCGCGAGAATATGTTCCAGACAAATGAAATTAAAAATGTTATCATTATGAAAGTTATCATCGCGAAGATATTCCAATTAATAAGAGACAGCGAAACTTTTTAATAAGCAACAATGGATTAAAAATATTAAAATGAATTAAAATTTTCTATCTATTTGAATGCATATTTTAAATAACAAAAACTTTCTTGAATTCAATTGGATTAAATTGGATTGAATTGAATTCAACTGGAGATTCAATTGGATTGAAAGACTGCATTTCCTATTCAGAATGAATTGAGAAATATTCAGATGAGGCACAGAAAAAAAACTCATATATTATTTTTAGATTGAAATTAAAGCATAGAAATGTGCTTCATGCAATTCCTAAATATAATAAATGCATTCGGATTAAAAAGGATTTTAATGTTCGTGAATACATATTTCTAAAAATCTGATTCTATTTCAATCCATTTTAATCTATTCTCGTTTACTGGGTTGAAATACATATTTTTCGAATCATTATTGTATTTATTGAAGAGAAAGATATATTAAGTTCGATAAAAAGTAGTCAAAATTGGAATTAATATAATAAGATTCTTACTTAACTTCTTTAAGATTCTCAAACCGTCAAATTTACAAGATTATAACCCAGTAAGAAATAACAATGGAATCAATGTCAAATCGATGTCGAATCGACATCATCGATTCAATGTCGATTCCATTGTCATTCTCACTAGATAAGAAAATGTACTCCAACCAAAGGTAACGATTACAATCGAAATATGTATTTTTTTAATTTCTTGATTTTAATTTTTTTTAAATGCGACTTTCCTGATTACGAATATCGTAACCGCATTGCAATTTTCTTAATATTTTAACCGTAATTTGGGAAAAATAATATATTTTTTCCTTGCAAAAATTAAAGGCCGTACCGCAGCCTTTAGGTTAGTTCGAATTGCTTTAAACACTTTTTAGTTTTTACACTCAGTACCTTCGCTTTCTTTCTCATTAACGTCCGAATATATATTTATCTCGTTTTAAGTACAAACATTTTAGAGATTTCAAGCAACACGAACAAATCTTTTATCTCATTTTAAGTGCAAAATCTTTTGAACATTCAAGTAACGCGAACAGACCTCTTATTTGACCCTAGTTCCTAGACCTAGGAAATTATTCCGTTCACGGTTGGCAGGCCATGCAAAACTATTATCGATTCAAGCGGCTAGCTTCGCTCAGTTAGAAACTTGGCGAAGGAGGGCACCAGTTATAGCCGGAGTTGGCTGGTCACTGGTGTTACCTTCTCAAATAAGCATCTCTCGTGAAGATACTAACCGGCGCCGCTACTGTCGCCATCATCGCGTCATTTGCCGGTACACGCACAGTATATCCTCGAACAGGTCCAGTTTTGTCATTCGGAAGAAGAACACCGAGGACGCATTTTACGTTCACGCTGTCACACGAAACACGAAATAAAGGACGACAATCGAGTTGAGGTGGGTGTCCCCAGGTCGATCTGTCAGTTTTGTCCTCTGATGATGACCGTCCGGTCGGTCGATTGACTGATAGCTAAAAGAACGTTTGTCAGTCATCGCACGCGCGTTCACCGCTGATTTCACGTTTTTTCACGTTTTTTTTTTGCGGCTCTTATTACTCATCGCGTTGGTTGCAAATTAAAGGTTGAAAGTACCGAAAGGTACAGCTGCGCAAAAACGATGTTTGAACGGAGCGAGTCGGACTTTTGCGCGCTGCGTGTTTTTTTCTTCTTCGGAACACGCCGGAGCGTCCTCTATTCCTTCGTGATTTAATCGAAATTGAAATTGTTAGGCTTACGATTTCGTTTGGCAAAATAATCTCTATTGCGTTACTGTGCGTCACATGCACTAAACTCCATAATTAAGTAAACGATTAACTTGATTGACTTGTATCCATTTTTCTACTAATAGAATAACTTAGAATAACTTCAATTTCGTTTAATATTCTTTATTCTTTTCTAATTCTTAGAAGTAGAAAAGTAGAAAAAGTAAATTAAATCAAGATTAAAGAGAGTTAATCTATATGGATAGAAACAGGCATTATGTTATATTTCTACTAATGTAGATTAACTTTAATTTTGGTTTAATTTATTCTTTATCTTTTTCTAATTCTTAAAACTAGAAAAGGATAAAAAGTAGGTTAAACTAAAATTAAAGTTAATTTATATGGGCAGGAACAGACATTATGTTATATTTCTATCAATGTAGATTAACTTTAATTTCGGTTTTATTTAATATTCTTTATTCTTTTCTAATTCTTAGAATTAAAAAATGATAAAAAGCAAATAAGTTAAAATTAATCTACACTGATAGAAACGGGCATATAATGTCTACCAATGTAAAGATTAATTTCAATTTATATAAATTTGATTACATATAAAGTAACTTTAATTTATATAAATTTAATCTAATTTATAGTTTCAAAGTTAATCTATTTTGGTAAAAATTGACATTAGACTCATTTTACAATACCAATGTAGATTAACTTTAATCTCAGTTTAGTTTACTTTTTATCTTTTTTTAATTCTTAGAAGTAGAAGATAAAAAATAAGTTAAATCAAGATTGAAATTCATCTAATCAGAAACAATGAATTGTATAATTAGAAATTTGCTATAAGCAATTCTGTCGGTGAGTTTAAAATCGGAATTTGGAATCGTTCTAAATATAGACGCTGTTATAAAGTTACGTAATAATGATAAAGAGATAATATTATCTTGATTGATAGAAATTAAAATTATATCATCGTATTATTAGCGAAAGTATACACAAATTTTATCACTTAAGGCGCTCATATTATGTTGCTGCACTTTGATATATTTACATACAACAATACAATCTATAGCACTGAAATATGATCGGTTAAATTCACAGTATGTTAACTCGCAAATGACATTGACTCATTTTTCAGTTTATCTACATTCTGTTTATCTTATGGAAAACTGACCTCGGAAAACGAACCGTACCGTGCGATTTCGAAATCTACCTACTTGGACCGAGAACTTGATCGAAGATTCAATTTGGCGCGATGCCGAGAAATCCGCACGAAAGGTATTAAATAAAGCTACGCGTAAAGTATAATACGATGCGAGGAAGAATCGCGTAAGTTAATTTGCCACGCGATTTTTTTTTTATATCGATATCGTTATTCCGGTATCACTGAATGCACACGTCCGCGAGCTACGTATAAAAAAATTACTGACGATATAAATCGTCACGAGTGTGTGGACAGATTCACATGTGTATTTACCGAATTAATTTCGTTCACGCGCTGTCGAACGACAATTTTAGGCTTTCCTCGACCGTTTGTTGAGAATGAGAAATGATTTTCTTAATTAGATTCTTTCGCTTTTGAAGAGGTAAGTTTGCAATGCAAGCCTCAGAAAAAGAAGAAATGATTATCGCGGGAAGAAAGTGCACTTCGAAAAGACCGATCTAATTATAGACGTAACGAGATGGTTCCTGACGGCAATGTATGCCAACATTAGCAAATATTACACACACATAACGTGCACGATTATCTATATTCTATATAAATATAGGTCAATATACGATAAAGTTGACATATATTGGTCATGTTTGAAACCGACTTAATAAGAATAGACTGTCCATTCTTATGAAATTGCCATTAGGTCTGTTCTTGTTGCTTGTATATTTTTTGCACTCAGTTTTCTTTTACTTTCTTTTACTTTCTTTGTTTTCTCTCTCTTCAACGTCTCAAATATATACTTATCTCCTTTTAAATACAAAAATTTGTTGAAATTTCAAGAGCAAGGCGAGCAAATTTATTATCATTTAAAAAGAGTGGAGTAATTTGAATTATATCGACCTTTCTTTCTAAATATTGGATTGAAGAAAGATGCTAATATATTCAATTCTTTCTGATATATACATATAGTCTATATAAGTTTATCAAATTTTATCGAAATTTAATGGAATTTAGCGTCTTTTTATTGTTAACCGATCGAATCGCGGAAGCCGTTGATTTTTCACGCTCCATCTTTATGTCAAGCGTATCATCAAATAGAGATTTGCCGAATCAATTTCTTGGTCGCCGGCTATTTCCGATTTTGATTACGAAAGATCTGGATATAACCGACTCACATAAATGGAATGCGCCTACACATTCGTTATTCCCAAAGAGCTCTTTCAAAATATGCGCTGTTTCGATTTTATATAATAAAGTGCTAGATAGCGTCTTGTGACAAACAGAGCACGTGAATTCCCGAGAATCCTGTCATAACGACACAAGAAACATATTTTGATTTTATGTATTTTTTATAATATTTGTGTTTATACATATTAATTAGTATTTTATACATATTAATTCAAAATAAAAAAGATCATTAACAAATTTTTAGCTCTTCAAAATTTATGCACGTTATTATCCTGTGTTCTTTTTCTTCGAAATTATTTATTTAAAAAGTTGGACTTTACGTTATTTCCGTTATGTATGCGTTTATAATTAATTTAATCCTAATCAATATTCGCGGATCTAGTGGACTCGGACATTTTTTTCAACTACATTATGACAAATTATTTATAATAAATATTTTTAAAATCTTACATACTTTTAAGTTACATAATTTTATTCGTCGAATTTTGAGCTTCAAAATAAAAAAAAATTGTTCAATTAAATTAACTTTAAGTAAAGATACATTTAAAAAGTATACTGATCTGTTATAAATATCAATTAATTTTCTTAGGCGAGTATTGCAAATTTTAACATACACTTTAAAATTAAATTCGGGATTAATTTGAAATTTTTGCAAATTAGTTATACTTAAGACTCCTGAGTAGTTACCTTAATCATATAGTCCAGCAAACGAGAAATTATTGAAGTGATATCGAATTTTTTGAATTTTTTAAATTCTTTTCTATATTCGTAATCCGCTTGAATCAGTAATTATGGATAGTTATTTAATTTCTGTATCTCACCCAATGCATAGAAATGAAACATGCGATCCGATTGAATCCGTAACTATGCATTGGTAATTTACATTTAGTATTTTACCTAATATTCAACGTAATGAACGTGCAACTAATTTGTTTGAATTTAACGTGCGGTAATGAAGAATTGTTTAACATGGGAGACCCACGAAATGTTAGTTATCGATCTCGGCAAGTCATTGAATAACATGCACCGAGGTAATATAGTATGCCTTCCAACAAGCAACACAGTGCGACACAGTGATCATGTCATCTTTGTTTAATATTGGTAAACAATAAGGATGTAATGATCCATTGTGTCACACCATGTCATTTGTGTCGCTTGTTGGAAACTACACATAATGGATCATTACATCCTTATTGTTTACCTATATTAAACAAAGATGACATGATCACTGTGTTGCACTGTGTCATTTGTTGGAAGGTATACATATATAAGTCGTTACCTCCCAAAAACTCTGATATGATTATGTGATATACAAAGTGTGTAACATTGCGGATTCACGGCAAGATAATTTCTAGACATAACTCTGGTCATGACAGTGCAAGTTATATCCGGGAGTCACTCTGTTCCTGTGAATCCGTAATGTTATATTATATTTTGTGTACATAGTAGGGCTCATTCGAGAAAAAACGATTCATGTATCTGTGATCATCTTGATGCATACTTTCCAACAATAAATCACTTTCTGAGATCGCAGGCTAGCATTTCATTTCTGAATCTATATAAATCCACACTAGAGTTTACACTATTATATTTATCTAAACGTATAGAAACGGATTCAGTGTATTCAAAATCATCTCTATAAAAATTCAATATCTTTTTCGTGGATAACGCGGATTCGAAAACTTGATTCATATGGATTTATCCAATCTAATCCGCTCTCGTTTGCTGGGAAGCAACACGTTGATTTTTCTTACACGCCATTTGTAAATAAAGACAAGTTGAATAAAACGGAACAATGGAATTGTTGTACATTTGCAAAACACTTGTAAAAATGGGTTGGAATTATTCTTATTTCTTCTGATAGTAAATAATCGTAAAGTGCATTTATTAGTTTTTACTTAATGCACGTGCGTAGTCTATTTTTACTTTACAAGCCTTTTTCGACTATTTGCTGATTGTCAGGGGAAAGGGGTAAACAAATAGTATATAAGAAAAATTAACCTGTCGTTTATGACATATTTCTTGTTTTTGACATGAAAATTCAATATGGCTGAGGTGACTACTTATGAGCTTTATAATATACTGGAGCAAGCCTTCCCTTAACTAAACTATAGAAAATTGTGGTCCGACAAAGGAAGGCAAGCAGTATTAATCTTCCTGATTCTTTTCTATTTATGATAGTAAAACATTAGGCAATGAGCGAATCCCTGAAAAAAACAGTGCATCAGAATATTCTTTGTTGTAGGAATTGAAGACACCCTCATTTCTCGATGGCTCGCTATAATATGTTATAGAACTCATTCAGGAGGCCTTAGGGCCTCAGCACAAAGATAGTCATAACTGAGTCGTAGATCAACGCACAATGTTTTGATCAACCTATATCTACGACTTACGTTTCAGGTCTCAATTACGATCATCTTTGTGCATTTAAGCCCTTAAGATTAGGAGAAGACAGCATCGAATATTAAAATATAGTTTCTACTTGCCAGAAAGGCTATACATCAATATATATCGCTTTGTATCGATAGATCCTTCATTTAGATTGGCGTTCCATGAGCGGAAATTTACAGCGGAATGAAATATAATAGCATAACCAATCATAACTCTACAGTCATTACTCTGTTTTCTTTTCTGCGGTTGTGATTGGTCTCACTGTTCCGTCCAGCTATAAATTTCCGCTTATGAGACGGCAGTCATAAATAACAAGAGTTGTTTTTTTTAATGACAGCACAATGCCCTTCATGGAAGATTAAGGAAATTTTGGAGCGAATATCGATTAGGATTAAGGTAAAGAACTGATGATTTATTTTTACGTATCTTTCAAAATTTATTTCCAATGTATCTTAAGTCTTGTATTCACGATGAAATCGCTCCAAGATCTTGAATAGAGAAAGAACTAACAAATCACGTTTGAACAACTCGGTTGTTCAAACCTGACCAATGCAATTCGATCCGAGATTTCGGATTGATTTTAGTATCGTGGACACGAGACTTTCAGAGAATCTTTCTCTCCTATCTTTTTTTATCATCGAAGCTCAACATTAATTTCGCATAGAGTTTGAACTCTATTATTTTTTATTGTAAAGATAATAACGTAAGAAATGTCAAACTAGTTGTTAAACTTAAACATTAATTAAAAATCCTGATGTGCTCCTTTTCAAAATTTAAAGACGCCGATGACACTCGGTTGTCTTTGTACTTAATAAATAAAGCAAGTTCTCGCTTCATCATCTTGGCACATATTCTTTTCTTATGTCTTCAATAATACTTCTTCTGTCGATCGAAGTTGTCCGTCTTCAATGCAAACATGCAATTGAAAATTAAAATCGACAATCGAACAGCAATGAATGATAAATCAACGAATAGCTTACGAGAATAGTTCAACAAGAAAGACAATGGTGATTAAAAAAGTACTTTTATTTCTTTATTTTTAAGGAAATGTAGAGAAACTTTGATTTAATTTAAATTCTGCATTATTTTACATTATCACTTCTCATTTTCTCGTCTCGATTATTCACTTTCAAAAATACTTTCGAGCTTGTATAATCGGATAAAAAATCGCACACTTCGACAATTACGCGTGATTCACATTTTAATGCTTCGAAATGTTCAACATGAACGCTTATCGTGGTTGAGAGGTCACGTTGATTCTATTGTGCATTCCAACGTCCAACGTTTATCTGCGAAATAGATTTATTCATAGATCAAATAAGTACATCCGGAACGCTATCGCGTAATAAACTTATTTACGAGACATAAAAGTTGAATAAAAGTAAAAAAAATATGAAGTTGTATAAAAAACAGATTAGATAACCGCCGAAGTCGGGGAATCCGAAAGAAAATCAATGTTGAACCAACGTATTAATCCGATTAAAATATTTTAATCGCAGCAATACAGCCAGTGCTGATTAGCTACAATTAACCTGTGCCATTATCGTTTAGATTATATCTTAGATCTTAAAAAAAGATTAACAATGATTTGAACTTTTCAATGAGATATCTACAATATTATAAATATAATCAATTTTTACAACATTTTATCTTTACGATTTTCATTGATAATGAAAACGATCGCAAAAACATTAAGTTGTTAAACTGATAGCCTTGAATATATAAATATTACAAAGTTTTTTATTTTAACAATTCAATTTTTTGTTTCTTTAAAGAGTTTAGAGCTTTAAAGTGTCACTTTAGATCTTCTATCATTTACGTTAAAATTCCGGATAGAATTAAAGTAACACTATGTTAAAATTCTGTTCATAATTTTGTATTATGTAATACAAAAAACGTTGAAGAATTGAAATACGCGACACATAAAATATTAAAACGCATCGCGTATAAAATTAGAAAAAGAATTCTATCTTGGAATCTTACACAAAGTTATGGAAGTAAGATGAGTTAACTGTACAAATTTCGTGAAACTGGAAAAATTCGATTATCGCAATAAATATTAATGCCTTACATTCTATCGAGAAAAATAACACACTCAATCATACGAACAGTTCTAAAATTTGCAGAATTTGATATAATCAAGCAGTATAAACAAAAACTGCACGCGATTGAAATATTTCCATATTCGCCTATTGACGAACAACCCGGCATACGTGCAGCTTCCAATGTGGAATAAACGGTAATGTGCACGCGTGCATGTGCATACATTCTTTTATCTCCTATTGCAAATATCGCGTAATCCAAGTACTTCATTTATTTACACATGATTGTTTATCCAGGGCTGTATTCGGTTTTAACGCTATTTTATCTTTGTTTTACCTCTGATGAATGATAATGATAGAGTGAGAGAGAGAGAGGGGCACAACGCCAAATTACTTTAGCAAATTACTTTAGAATTTGATATGTCCATTTACATCGACGTTATGCTCGTATCACACTACGCATTAGAAAGAGGATTAGAATTCGACCAAGGTAATTTCAATTTTAATCCGTTTTATTTTAATTGGTTGAATAATCTTTAATTTTCTCTCAATCCTCAATCTCCAATGCGTAATGTGATACGAGCGTTACATTTAACACATACATATATATGCTTAATACATTTATCCAAGTCATATTTGGAATCATTATTTAAAACTCGCGAATACATATCGGTCGTTTTGAGCATAAAAATTGATACAAAAATTCAACGAAAAAAGATAATGTTTCTTTAAATAGAACATGAAAAGAATGGTTTTGCTCAAGTATCCAAAAATTTTAGTAGAAATTTATTGAAAATACATTAATTAAATTTCGGCATATATTAGATCAATATTGAGCTAATATCTGGGCAATATCTGCCAATAATTAGGTATGCTACTGGAATTTAGCTGGATACAGACCTGAAAATAATTTTATTGGACCATCAAAATAATTACGTAGAAAATTGATTCGACGTCTTTTGCTAGAATATCAAAAGTCTAAATCATTATGCTTTCCTACGTAATTATTTCTTGTAAAAATTTAGTAATTATTTTTATAATCTATCAAAATTATTTTCAACTCTATATCTAGCTAACCTTTTTTAGATACTTCCGTAAAATCATTTTTTCCACGTAGAATTGTATTTTTGTAACTATATAGAAAGGGCAGGTTTTGCTGAAGTAGCTATCTACAAAATTAATTAGATATATTATAGAGCTGAAAATAATTTTGTTGAATTATCAAAATAATTATGTAGAAAATTTGTTACTAGAATGTACTTTTTGTATTATTCATCACTTGAATGTTTCATATGTTTCTTACAATTATTTTTATGGTCCAACAAAGTTATGTTCACATTTTTATCTACCTAAAGTTTTAGATACTACAACAAAATTGTACTTATAGCATACAATTTGAAGAAACGTTATCTCTCTTTGTGCCAGAAGTGTCACGACCAACGGAGAATGACGTCGAATCATTTTTAGCAAGATCATTCTTTTCGTGTAGCTATTCTCCCCTCTCTCTCTCTTGTTTTTCGCTCGTGCGTCATTAATCTACCCGCAAAGATGTAAATACTTCCGCGTAGATTAAAACGCGCGCACCGCGTGCGCGACGCGTGCCAATTTTCCGCATTTTGCCCGTGAGCCTGCCGATGACGACAATGAAGACGACGACGATGGCAACGATGGTGACACGCATTCGCAACGTGACGATAACATTTTTTTCTGATGTATTTATATCACAGCTTTCGGCTAAACGCGCTTAGCGAATAATTCGAGGCGCGAATAATTCACCATAAATCTTTTTCCGAACTCAACCGCGAAAAAACACTAATTGAATCCACCGATAATCATTCCAATTTCCACGTCCATTTATATAGTACTCACTTAGAAAGAAAGATGCATAATATCATTTTTTTTGTACTTTAGTTATTGATAATTCCAAGATCTTCAAAGCCCGCGAAGAATCGTTTTCACTCATATTGGAGTGTTAATCCTTAACTGATGAGGCTCTCACACGTCGTGATCAATTTATCGATAAGACGCTATTTCACTTATCTAGATTCAATGGGAAGAGTGAAATATTATCTTATCTTATGTAAAGAACATCGAATAATCGATAGTAATTTAGAAACAAAGTTGTTTGCACGCCAAATGGAAAAATACTTATGTATGAAAAACATAATTTTGCTAAAGTATTTCAAAAATTGTTTAGGTAGATATAGATCTGAAAATAATTTTGTTGGATCATCAAAATAATTATGTAAAATGATTGTCAAGATGGTTGTCAAAATTTTTTCCAACCTTGCTCATTATGTTTAAGTGCCTAAATATTTTCTAAATTCTTTGAATTCTCACTCTAAAGAGTAAAAATTGAGCTAGTCTTGAAAAAGACTCAATTACCAGTCTTTAAGAGTAAGAATTCTCTTTAGAGAATAATTATTTTGATGGTCAAACAAAATTATTTTCAGGATCATTTTCAGATACTTCAGCAAAATCATTCTTTCCGTGATAAACTTGTTCGTGATAAACTTGCTTCATCAATTTTATTTCGAAAATGGTACTTTTACATGGAAAAAAATATTTGCTTGAATTAATTGAAATTCTGGCGGAAAATGAATGATCAGAATTCTGGTCTATTAGATTTTTCGTTAAATCTACTAGAATTCTAGCAGATTTAACCAAATATCTAACAGATTTAATTAGAATTCTGGATCGTTCATCAAAATTCCAGTTGATTCATCGTTTTTTTTTTTTCGTTAATTACAAATTAGAGATCCGATAACAATTCAGCCACGAGATGACAAATTTTAAATTGGCCTATCGATTTTATCTAACTTCAATAAATTAGAATGAGTAAGATAGTATAAATTAGAATGAGATAGCACATTAAAAAAAAACAATATATACAGCCTCCTTTTTCACTCTTTTTTTGTAACAAAATTGCTCGTCAAATTGCTCATCAAATTCTATTATAGTCTCTATTACAAATTAAATTGTTCGCTGTAAAACAAATCATCCACCAAAAAATTTTGACATAACGCAGACGTCGTGCACGAGAGAAGGCGATTCATTCGCAAGGTGGTGAACGCAACCATAATCGATTAGCGGTCAGTGATCGATCATACATTCAGGAGCGCGTTTCGAACATTCATCACGTAGTCGCAGCCGAAATCATCGCCGTCGAAGATCCGGTCTCGAAGTAGCAGAGAATATCGCGGATCGGTCCCCGGTGATATCTTGTGTTCTCGGAACGGGATGCGGGGTGTTATCCCGGTGTGTTTACATGGCATCTGACGGTGGTGGTGGCCACGGCACCTCGGTCGCGTTGTTTGATCGCGCAATGACGGTGGCGACGGTCGAGAGGGCGGCCGGTCGCGCGCGGGTGGTGGTTGAAAGGTCGCGGCCTCCGTCATTGATATGGTTACAGAGAGCGCACTTTGGACCAAACGGTCGTGCCGACTTAAGAGGAATAAAGCGCGACGGCGTTAGTTGGCTTCAGTTTAGTGTCATCCTGGCTGCGTAACACGACGCATCGCGCAACCCGACCAACCCGCTCCCCACACTCTCTCTCTCTTGTCTTTTATAAATATTTTTTCCCCCTTTACTTTTCGCTCTCTCTCTCTCTCTCTCTTTCTCTCTCTCTCTCTCTCTCCTTCCGCGATCTGTAAACCGGCGAGGAATAAAACGCCGGTGAATCATGGACCCTGGCCAAGAGCGACAGTAAACTGCAACCGCGAAAAGATTTTCGCTCATGAGATAATTAGGCGAGGGATTCAGGCGCACCCGAGCCGATTTCTGATAGAAGAGAAAAAGAAGAAAGAAAAAGAGAGAGAGAGAGAGGGAGAGAAACAATAAAAGAGCCGCATCTTTTTATCGAGTCGCGCTGAACGCACGTGACTCTTGACGTTTCGCGTTGGCAAGGACGACCGTGTTGAGAGACCACGGCTACCAAACGTTCCGCCACGCGCTTCCCACCTTCACGTTCCCGTGTGAGCCCGTCGCGATACTATACTGATACCACCATGTGGTCCATAGAACCGGGCAGCTTCACCTCCAACGGGAGCATGATCGTCGTGAGCAACAGGTTGCCATTTGTGCTTAAGAGGAACGAGATAACCGGTCAGCTGGAGCGCAAAGCCAGGTGAGTGTCGCCTTCTTCTCCCCCTCTCTGAACTCTTTGAAGTAGAACCTCACTTAAAAAAAAATCGAGCCATTCTTTCTCAAAACTGGCTCAATTTTCAATCTTTAAGGCTGGGATTTCACTCTTCGGAGTGAAATTCATTCTAAAAGTTTTAGAGAGTCTTGGTGTAATCAAAGTCTGTGTTTTGAAGCATTAAATTGACCGATTCAAAGGAAAGAATTTTACTAATTGGTCAGTCAAAGAATGCTTCAAAGCATTTGTAGCATTATTGACTGTATTATCTTTCTAGCGAAAGAACAAAAACGGAGATATGCGTGAGATCAAAGATACAGAATACGTAAAATTGAGCGACAAAGATAAGAGGAATAGGATACGGAGACAGCTAAGTCTCTATCTCTTTCCATTCAGCGGTGTAATGAGAGGGAAATTGACCGTCTTCCTCTCTCATTTTTGTTAATCACATTTGCTGTACTCTTTACATACGAATGACGCAATCCATGCTCTATGAGTTTATGTCTTTGCGCGAGACCACGTGCAAATCGAATGACAGTCGCGAGAAGAGAGAGGACTTGGCTGTCACTCCGTATTCAACATTTGTCGCGAATGTTTGCGCCTTGAACGGCATGATTGTATGACTTATGCGGTCGCATAAATCAGTTCTTTAAAAAAAATCTCATTTCTTACACTTTAATCTTAGTACACACGATTGGGTCATTCGTGACGTTCTGACGTTCTATACACATTTCTTTTCTACTAAAACTAGGAATGGTTTATTAACTATAATAACTAATTAGCTATAATATTTATATAAAATTTTGTAAATACACAATCTTACGAACACTTTCTATATAAAGATGTTAAAGTATACGTAAGAATTATTTAATAATTTTTGTATATTTACTAAAGTGATGAAAATTAATCCAGAACGACTCGTTGTGTGTAAAGGACCGGAAAATTATATTATGTGTACTAATACAGTAATACATAAATGACTGAAACTTGGCGATATCGTACATGCAAATCGTCATGTAGCACTCGCTATTTTTAACTACGAAGTTCTATTTTTGTATGTCTATTTTTATACACTGAGACAATGCGTATATCTCACGCATTTGCGTATATATAGATCGCATTTTCTTTTATGATAACCAAATGGACTGTACTATTATTGTAGCTATTACTCGAGCGATTCTTTTTTAAGATTGTAGTGTCATTTGCAACATTTAAAGTTGTCGACATTTATGCCTGACACTTACATCTCGTTTTTTTATATATTTAACTGAAAAATCGTGGCTTGAGATAACGAATACGACAAATTACTTGCGATTATGTGTCGTCTTTGGAGTTACATCATTCGCTACTGTCATTATCTTTACATAAGATACAGTCAAACTACAGGATATTTCTATAGCATAACAATGATTTGTATCTTACGACTATATACCGACTTGTTCTCTCGTCTCGATTGCATTAACTCTTTCAAAGTAAAAATATGTAACGCGATTAACAAGATGGAGTTTATTAAAAGAGTTTGATGCCCATTTCCACTAATATAACTTTAATCTTGATTTAATTTACTTGTTTTCTTTTTCTAATTCTAAAAATTAAATTAATCTATATTAGAGAAAACGGACCGTAACAAATTTTTTAAATATTTTGAATCAGTTTGATCTTGAAATTTAATTTTTTTTTCATGCAGAGCGAAAATTATTGTGAAAAAATTTATAATTATGAAAATACTGTGTTTATAATTATCTAAAATAAGATCATTCTCTTAGTAACGCGTGGAAAATTATAAGAGGTACGTTTCTGAGTGCACGTTTCACCTCGAATGAGGTAGAAGGAAAGATACATGGCAAACGTGCATATGTCATAAACAAAAAGAGCGATTATTTCAATAAAAGGCGCGTCGTATCAGAAAATAAACGACGAATATATATAGATAGTCAATAGATACAGCACATCGGTGATATAATAAGAGCGACAAAATGCGAATAACAAAGTTTAACTTAAAATTTTCGTATTTGGAGAGTGATAGTCTTCCCACTGCGACTTCCTACTTGGCAAATACGATTTGATTAATATAATTTTTTTTCTTGTACGCGACATTGTTTACATTGCTATATTCGTGACATGCGCCATCGATTGAGAAAATTCGATGCGTATTGTAAAATCTGACCGATTGATCGAAGAACGATTGATAGTACCAAACGATTAATTGAATTCTGGCCGTATCATCATCAGTGAAGAAGACGTCCAAATAAGAGAAGAAGATTAATTGAATTGATAAAAGAGATTGACTTTGCACGAGGCGTTTTTCTTAATCACATTCAAAATAATTTTTTTTGATAGGCGTAATCTAATCGCGAGTATATAAATGGTAACTCTTACAAAATGTCACGCGAGATTTGTGTATTCCAAATCGGGATAGATTAATGCGAATTTTTAAGGTGACCCTACATGGTCACTAATCTATCAGTAATGAGAGAGAGAGAGAGAGAGAACCAACAATATTACTGATCGTGTGTGGTTAATATTGATAGATTAATGTAAGAGCTGAAAGAGCAATTTTGCTGAAGAAGTTAAAAATTTAGTTAGATGTAGATCTGAAAATAAATTTTGCTGAACCATCAAAATAATTTTGCAAGTATCTTAAGTATGATGAGTAATGCTGCAAAATGTGTTTTGATATTCTAGCAAGCAATTTAGTCGTCCTATCTAATTGTTTTGATGATCCAGCAAAATTATTTTTTGGATCTAAATTTAGATTCATTAGTAAAATTGCGCTTTCGGTGTAGAGTACTGAGAATGATCTGAATTTTGATTCTCGAGCATCAATATCGCTATATTCTACTTCACTGTTAGATGTCAAAGAAACAATGGTAACTTAATCCTTTAAGTTAATAACACTGTATTGTTTTTAACTTCTATATACGTAAATCAATCTACTTCCTTGATTAGTTTCAAAGTAAACATCATCTATATTACATATGCATTTAGTAAATAATAAATTTTTAGTCAAATTTAATACATTTTCTTGAATTAAATTATTAAATCAAGGAGCAAGTAGTGGCGACTTATAAAAATGATTAAAAAAAACTCTGATTGAATATAATTTAACATTATGAATTTAATAGTTTTGAATATCGTAAATATAATTTCATTTCAGAAAAATAATATTTATCAAATTAATTGGCAACCCATTTCTATTACATTACAGTAATTTCTTATAAATCAATTTTTTTTTATTTAAAAAAAAATTAACTTTTTGTATGCTACTTCAACTACCTCGCGAATGACCATCAATGTTATTTTTAATATAATATTTTTCAAGATGAGCACAATTATGCTCGAGTAATTTTTATAAAATAGTGTTCTTGGCTAAAAACGGAAAGATGAATTAGGTTAACGAAAAGGTAAATTAAGCTACGTGTATCGCCTGTAGCATCGTATACACGAGACGCCCGATGAGCACAATTACCACAATTAATTTCTCAAAGCGGCCGATATACGGACGCTATATGTTACCTGCATCATAATTGTCGCACGAGTCTATCGCGTGTTTGCCGGTCGCATCCGCATGTTTCATGTTCTTAGATTGCCCACGCGAGATGAATATCGCAGCTCACGATCGAGCTATGTATTCTCGTACGAAAGACTCACACCGGATCATGGAAAAACACTGACGCGAATGCAGGTTTTTGATTATCATTCTGAAGTGATAATACGAATCGGTCAATTTTCGACATGGGACGTATCAATGCGCTTGATTAAGTCGAATCTGTTTGTTGCACACGTATGTCGAATCGTTCGATTTAGTTTCTGTAAACTTATCCTTTTTTTTTGCTACATCGTCCGATATTGTTGCACGAAATCAATACAATGTTGCTAAAGTGTTAAAATTTTTTGCAATATTGCTTATCATACTTGAAATTCTTACGTAATTACATATATTGATAATAAAACAAAATTAAAAAATTCTTTTGAATTAGATAAGGTTTCTTATTTTTGGATGCTGAAAATCATGCCGCAAATCAAATTTAATATGAGGTTTTCGTAATATTTAAGATTCAAAATGGCTTTTTGCAATACCTGACATTTTTTTGTAAAAAAATATTAACAATAGGTATCCCTCAATTTCTTACTTTTCGACCACGATATAAAGAATTTAATACAGATTTTTGTGAGCTTTTTTAAAAAAAATATAAAATATCGCAAAAAAAACATTTTTTGTACATTAAACCTCAATCTTTCAGAAATTTAACGTGCTGGTAAAATTTGGTTTGCAACCTTGTTTTTTCAGCATCTAAAAATCTATAAAAAGCACCTAATAATTAGAAAAAGAACATTTTTTGAAACTATTTATTTTCAGATTTATATTTAACTAAATTTTTTATAGATTACATTCTTAGACGTGAAACAATTAAGAACATTCGATATATATTAACGATTTTTAAGTTTCTTCACAACATGTTTTGTATAAATCTTTTTCATTAACTTAATATTGTAATATACTTAACTGTAATATTATATGGGATTGAGAACGCAATCACTCGTTAATCAAGAAGACTATATATATATTCTTTATTCTAAATTTTTTATAGATATTTCAGGAAAATAATATAAAAATTGTTTTTTTCCGTGTACTTAAAGATCAATCAGGAGGTAATCACAAGGCACAGCATAGTTCATATGAGAATCTATACTGTTTCCTTTTTCATTCACGTATTCTTTGATCAATTCAATCTTTTCATCAGAGAGGAAAACTAAATCCTGCGCGATGTTGACAAAGTTTGCTTGAAAGTATAGACACGCGTACTAATTATGAGTGAATTGTATCGCATACAAGAACAGCATGATACCCACGCAATGATCGAAGTTCACGCATTGCGTACTTTCGACAGCTTCAATATATTAAGAACGCTTCGTATATTAAGAACTCTTTTATTAGGTGTTGGAATTAATTCGTAGCGTTTTACAAGTGATGGGAAGTACTTTCATTAATGTATTTTTTAATGCTCATGTGAAATAAATAATATTCTTTCATTAAAAAACGCTACGAATTAATTCCAACACCTAATAGTTGCTTACGAGCAAGGCGAGCATAATCAACGATGCGTAAACAAGTTGGTCATTATACTCAATGTCGAGCTTAAACGTGTCCGCTAAATGTATAATTAATTACGGCAATCGCGTCTTAAATAAAACCGCGACGTTCAATTAATACGGTATATTACAATCATGTACGCTCTCTCTAATATACTTTTACACGCGAGAAATGTGTTTCTTTCATTTGCGATTAAAATACAAGCGAAATTAAGCCATAAAATGATGAGACTATAAGCATATATCCTTTAACACCGAGTCTCACAATATTCTTTTCCGCTGTCTTGAAGTATTTACATTCGAAATAAAATTGTTTTAAGATAACAACACTATCGACTTCTCATTAAAGAGTCGAGACACATTCTGATTGCAGGCCGATATTCATAATCGGTTCTTATTTTAAAACCGTCTTAAGTAATATTTTAAGATGCTAATACTGTTCTTTGATTTATTTATAACATCTTAGAGTAAGATCGTCTTAAATATATAAGAACCAACTATGAATATTGGCCTTAAACTTTGTTTCCTACAATTAGACGTTTACATTCTATTTTTCCTATTTTTTAATTCTATGATGATAGTAATATTAAATTTTCTAATTTTATATTCTTTTTATTCTGTGTATTTAATGTAATGCATTGTAAACAATTGAAATGGAAAGCAGTTAAAATTCAAGCATATGCTTAATGCGATTGTCAAATTGTTTTCCATTTTATTAATGTCAACGGTCAAATTAAAGTATCAGATATAATTAGACCTTTGCGTCGTTTTAAAACTCATAGGTTACTGTTAACGATCTAATGGTATCGAAACTTTTGTAATATTTTTCAAAATATCACGTTAATACAGCTGGATCTTTTTTATAAGAGATAAAGAAAGAGCTATTTTTTATATAAATAAATAATTTTATAATAAAATATTTAATTTTTTAAAATTATAATAACAATTTATTTAAATGAAATGAGAGACTATCTTACGTAACTTTTCTTTCTAATTCTAATTCTACCATAAAATCTTATAAAAATTATTTTAAGAGAAAATTTATTCTTTTAAATCTGAAACTCTTACTTTTTACGAGCGGCTTATTTTTGCTTATCTTTTCTTGAATTTCTCTTTCTTTTACAGTGCCGGTGGTCTGGTAACCGCGGTAGCGCCTGTTGTTATAAACGGAAATGGAGTGTGGGTCGGATGGCCGGGTATGCACATGGAAAACCCGAATGAACCAATTCCCGAATCAGATCCCAACGATCGCACGCCGACGGCTGGTCTATTATCGCGTAAGGTGAGTCACTGTTAACGACAATTAATCGTCGTTAACAAAATATCAACACGTTGATATTTTGTTACGACCGCAATTTGCGGCGCTTTACGTAACCATGATCTTGTAGTCATAATGTTTTTTTTACAATTGTTCATACACAGAAAAAAAGAAAAAACAGTTATTTAATCCGCGTATTGTTAGAAATCACTTTGACTCTTTTGTGTGCAAATTTTTCGAGACAACAATCGGTTAAATCGCTAGGACAATCATAGATTTGTTATACTATCACACACTTACAATTAGTATTTTACTGCCATGAACGTTTTATGTTATAAATAAGCTCATTGATTGTTGCGTCACAATGTGCAGACAATAGCGACTCACATATTTAAATTAAGCAATTTTTTTCTCGCATTCCCTTAAAGTTTTGCGATGTTTTTTGTCTCCTAAATTGACATTTTTTGAGATGGATATGTATTTCCAAAAATTTTTAGTTTATGTTAATTTATGCTAATTAAAACATATTAATTAATTTCAAGGAAAATAATATAACTCATTAAAAAGAACCAATTATTTAAACATTTTATTTTTTTTTCTTCAAGTTGTATCTGCAAATTTTTATTAAAAATAAAAAATTTGCAAATACTAATAACTTAAAGAAAATTGAATTATTTAACATTTTTTACAAAGATTTAAAATTGAGTGAGTCCAATAGACCCATCAATTTCGGAGAGTTAATATTCGAACTTATATAAAAGTTATTAATAATTTAAAAGTTGAAACTTGCTCTTGAAATCTTCATTCTCGATCACCAAATCGTAGCGGTTTTTAAGGTCTTCAATCTTTTAAGGTATTTAAATATTAAATATAGAGGTATTCACGAGAAGGTCTTCTGAGTATTTAAACTAAAACGAGGTCAAGAAAGATTTTCAGAATTGAGAACTCAGGTGGATCAAGTGGTGCGTTATCATTATCGCTATTTCAATTACGCGAAGTATGCTTGACATTGACAATGTGTACCACCTCCGCGTGGCGGAAAGAATAGTCACTGTTCCCCACTTCGATCAACCTGTAATATTCCATACGCCATTGAATGTTTCGAAATGATCTTTCGCTGCAAGCAGCGTCGACAATAATATAACGACAGCAATTTCCTACCTTTCATTTGTAACAACTACGACCAACGCTATTCGATCGATATACTGTTAAATCTAGTATCAAAAACCATTGTTTTAATATAAAATAATTATATATTGTAAGAGTAAGAGCAATGACGACTTATATAAATTAGGTTGATACTGTAGATTTAACAGTTAATGCCACATAGAATTACTTGATTGCGAATTTATGAAGCAATGAATTTGCAAAGAGTTTGCGAATTGCATTATATCGAAATATGTACGAAAATTGCTTTTTACAATGTAGAAAAAAGTGGTAAAGTAGATCGATTCGGAGATGCCTTTTGCCTTTCTCTCGACACTAGAAAATTCGGCGATAGTTTATAGCAGCTTATATACTCATTTAGAAAATAGACTTTTCACGACAATGTCGAGTATTTTTCGACGAAAGCAACGCGACTATGCCTTCTGAGAAGTGATTATTTTATTCTCTTTCACGTACTTACTACACGTAAAGCATAAAGCTTTTATAATGATTAATGCGCGCACTTCATATTACTAATCGTCGTAAACCGCTTTGTCGTTAGCTAGATTGAAACAACATGATAAAAACGACGCGCTTTAACAGTTTTTGTTGAAACATTTCTGATATGAACAGAGAAATGTTCGGTGGCCTGTTTTCCTTTGTTGGAAAAATGACGTAGGAAACAAATGTTGAAATTCCTACGTTTGGACACAATTCCTACGTATATCCGGCACAATGGTATCGGTCACGTATTATGCATGTCGAGTACATATCGTATTTATCTGCAGACTAACTGATTTTCGATTTCCAATTTAATAATTCATTTCCTGAATGGATGAACATTTTCATGTATCACATAACAGTTAATATAAATGTATAACATCAAGTGCGTTATCCGTTATTATTATTATTATTATTATTATTATTAGCATCATTATCATTTTTCTTCTTTCTTTTCTTTTTTTATTATTAATTACTTTTATTAATATTATTAGATATACGCAAAAATTTTAGCGAATTTTTCTTTTTCTTCAACGTTCTGATATAATTTTTGTAAATTCAAATAATTTATCTCCTTATCATATATTTGTAAGACTGATATCGAATTACCTAAAACGCCGTATTTTATAATTTATAATGATGCACATATAATTTTACAAAATAACAGTGAACACGATGAGCGATGAAGCTTTATATTTGACATTGCGTATAATTTTCTCTGTTCTTAACGAAGTCTACTGTGTCTCACAATACATACAAATGATCGTGTTACAAATTGTAGTAATTTTGAAGGTATGAAGATGCTTCGTGTGCATCTAATAAGCCTGAAACCGTTAATGCCAAACGCTATTGTCGTCAGTTAAATGATTTGGCTGAAAAAATAGAAGTAAAAGTACTAAAAAAGTACAAAAACTTTTGCACACACCTAATGTTATCGGTCGCCTAATACAATTTCATGTGTAAATAAGTCCAAAATGGCTGGCACTGTCACGGATATTCGTGTCACGAGGTCAATCGGGCTATCAACTGTATAACAGCGTTGCAAGCCTATCGTTTGTGAAATGATGACTTTTAGCTAGCTGTCGGTATGCTATGTCGGCGATTAACGGATTAGCGGATACCATGTATACACCCACGCGCGAACATTGCGATGGATCACGTGAATCGCCGCAAGAGTCTTCAAGATTGCCAATAATGATATCCAAGCGATAGCCTTGATAGCCTTCGACATCGTTAAATAAAACAGGACGGTGATTAAGCCCGGCAGGCTGCGTGGCGACGAACGATTATTATCGTTACGTGAAATTCACACAATGGCGTAGCTTTTACTCAGCCGACATTAGATTACTCGATAAAAGAGGAGGGGGGAGAGGAGGGGGGAGGGGGAGAGAAAAAACAATATTAATCCCAGAAAGTATTAATTTTTTATGCTCGACTACGAAATGATTACAATTAACGGTTGCCCAGGTCTACTTCAACCAATCACGAGTCCATCGTAATTGGCTAAAACAGAAAGAATCATCAATTCGTACTTCGATATTTTCGTTATGCAAATCACGATTACGATTCCATTTGAGTAAGTATCTCGAAAAATTACGAATAGAGAGAAATTATTATTTGTAATCAAAATAATAATTATTTATATATCGCGATATCGTTTAAGATATCGCTTAAGATGTCTTACGTTCTGAATTCTCTCTCTCTCTCTCTTCTCCGGAAAAGTCTCCTTAATTATGTGAAGGCAATAAAGGCAATGACTTATTGATTTTCACATCGATCAGCGATACCGCCTGGATTATCGACGTTAACAAATTGTTTTTTTACTGTCAGGCTGTAAAAGTTCTTCCTTCTATTTTATTCTGCAACTTAATTTTCCGCCTTGCATTGATTTCATCATTACTATCATTAGCGTTTCGTCAGTGGCTATATATACGTCCGTTGCTCAGTCTCGCCCTATTTTGCTGTCTATCACTGGCAGGAACGTTCAATAATATGTTTGCATAACACAACGAGCATATAGGAAACAAAGAAGACGAGAAGGAAAAACAACGCTGCAAGGGGGGAAAGCCGACTATCATGTCATGTCACGTGGAATACGCTTGCGAGACATGCGATAACGAGCAATTACGAGTATTTGTAAAAAATTTCTTAAAATATTTTCATTATTTCCTTAAATGAACCGTTGGATGAAACAGAAATACAAGATACACATTTTCATAATAATCCACCTTTGCGATTTTGAAATATCTCCGATACTTCTAAATAACAAAGATGACTATGTTAATAATGAGGAAGATCTGAGATCATCGTCCAAAAAAATTGCGCCGCGGATGATATACGTCAGTATATCAATCAGTATACCAGTCAGAACTAGTATACGAAATCTTTTGTTTGTTGTTTTCAATTTCCAAGCATCTTTTCTCGCAAATAACATGATTCGATGTTTTTAAAATCTTTTCTTCGCAACTATTGGATAACAACTCAATCAATTTGAAATTTTTTGATTGCGTATATCTCGAATCGTTTGCACCAAATTTGATTAGACTTCTTGCCTGAGAAACTTCTTGAAAAAACTGATTGCCGTAAATACATTGTTATGATTTTTTTAATTGCATTTATAACGCTTTAACGTGACGTTCGTAATTTGAAGCGGCAGCGTTTTTAACATAATTCTGACCCCGCGATCCCTCAAATTAAAATCGATCGAGGTCATCGCTTGTTTCCCGATCTCGCTCGACGATTAAAAAATTCACTGTCGGTGAATTGATATATGTTTTATCGTGACGCGGTTAAGCAACTTCGACGATGTACGAACATGAGATTTTTCTTTTTCGAGCGATAAAACAATGCGCGACGATCTCCCAATCCGGACGCATGTATGGATAAAGAGAGCCGCGTCGCTTTCCCTGACCTCTCTTAATTAATGTGCCCGTAAAGCGGCGATATCTGTCCGGAGAAAATAACAAACCGACGACCAGGCCGCGGTTGATTATGTCTATCGTAGAAGTATTAAACGCGCGTTATCGCCCGTCAGCGATTGCTCATTTGCGTCAGGAGTGATCTTTCTTGGCATGGCCTGTTTTCACGCGAGCAATCGGAAATAAAGAAGGCAATGTCGCTGGCAAAATAACAGAATTTCGCGGGATAACGAGTGACATTCGAGAGAGAACGGTAAGTCCTGAAACATACAATAGGTTTAGTAAGTTTTAAGCCGTGAGATATATTGGCCAATCACAGTCGAATGTGAAGAGAATAATCGGTTGGTTCATTTCTTTATTATATGTACCTATGTGTTTTGGGATTAAACAAAACTAGACTTTACGTACTTTTGATCTAACATCTGATTTATCTTGTCTTATTTCTCATTATTAAGTCAATTTCTCGCGTTGAGATATCGCTTCCGTTGAATTTATAATGACTCTTGTGTTCCCCTGATGTATGTATATTTTAAACATATTACACAGCTAGAGGCTTTTAAAAATATATTTTTTCTATTTTTTTTTTTTTGAGATATAGCTTTTATTGAAGTTCTTTTGTCTAAAATCTTTATCAAAACAATGTGATCAATAACAATTCAACTTGAAATAAATTATGCAGAGAATAATTTTTAATTAATTATTTCATTAATCAAGTTCAATATATCTAAGATCCAATTAAAAAAAATAATACGAGCTGGTTAAGGAGAATAAAAAAGTTAACAAATTACAGTTCGAAGTATTCATATCATATTAATGTATTCGTTAATGTATTACAATAATTTATTATTAATGACATAATGATAAATATGTATTATTAACTTTTTTACTTAAACCATTATTGACCATTATTTTCTTTAATTCTTAATTGCCATTTCTTTGTAGGATAAATTCAAAATCCAGAAAAAAAATTATACACAAAGTTAAGTCATTTAAAAAAGTTAAGTCGTTTATTTTGTGAATTAATATAAATAAAAGGAATCGAAACGCACGCAATAATCATGATTTTATATATTGCTAGACATTATTATTCTAAATGAACCATATAATCATATATTTAACAATGATTATTATTATAATTAATAATTAATATATAATATCATTAATAATAATAATTATTATTATTAATAACCATGCATGCATGTATATGCAATATATGTAATATATGCATGGCATGCACGGCTGTACGACATTACTTATTTATTTTACAAGTGGAGCACCTAAAAACAATTGTACTCACTGACAGGTTTGCCAAGTTACTTTCCGTATTCTGACACTATCTGATATGACGATTGCATTGTACTCTCATGCTTGTAACTCAAATTAATCCTCTTGAAATAGCGACAGAAATGCGTATCGTGCGTACGAATGATTGCGGAGAAATATGACGAGATATTCCCCCGTCTTAATCTCTTTCTCTCTTTCTCTCTTTATTTTCAGGTAGTAGCGGTTCACGTTGATGCCGGCATCTTTGACTCGTACTACAACGGATGCTGCAATGGAACCTTCTGGCCTCTCTTCCATTCTATGCCTGATCGAGCGACCTTCATCGCGGAACACTGGCGCGCGTATTCCGCAGTCAACGAACAGTTCGCCGCGAAGACAGTATGATTCTACACTTGTGATATTGATCGCGTTTTTGCAATTTGAGAACATTTTTTATTCCCACTCATTATCTTATTAATTCCCTCAATGTCGTTAGACGTCGCAATTTACTTTTAATTCCTTTTCAGTACGATATAAATGTAGTAATATCTCTGTAATAATATTTACTATTCTCACTGCAAAAAGAAATTATAATGAGCTAAGTGCGCTATTATAAAGAAATACTGTACTCAGTATTCTCGAAATATGATTGTAATAATTAAATAATTTATTAGCTCTCCCAAACACGATTCTGATGTAGGTTGGTGCGTTGGAACAAATTCATAAAGAACAAGAGAACCAGCAGAACGGTACGCCATTGGTATGGGTCCACGATTATCACTTGATGTTGGCCGCTAATTGGATCAGACAGGCGGCCGAAGAGAAGAATCTCAGGCTTAAATTAGGTTTCTTCCTTCACATACCCTTTCCTCCATGGGATATCTTCAGACTGTTCCCGTGGGCCGACGAAATCCTGCAGGGTATGCTGGGTGAGTGATATCGCGTAGATATTGATTGTCTTGAATAACTTCTCTCGAATTTCTAACGTGATTCTCTTTGTGGCGACGCTTAGGATGCGACATGGTGGGTTTCCACATTCAGGATTATTGCCTGAACTTCGTCGATTGCTGCCAGAGGTGTCTCGGTTGCAGAGTGGACCGTAAGAATCTACTGGTTGAACACGGTGGTAGAACGGTGCGAGTAAGACCGCTGCCTATCGGTATTCCATTCGATAGGTTCGTTTCATTAGCAGAGACCGCAACAAAAGTCATGCAGTCGAATCAGAAGATCGTCCTCGGCGTCGATCGGCTTGATTACACGAAGGGCCTGGTTCACAGATTAAAAGCCTTCGAGATGCTGTTGGAGAAACATCCCGAGCATCGCGAACAGGTCATTATCTAATACGCTTACTCGCGAGCTCTTGCTTCGCAAAAGTAGTTGCCGATGCTATCGGAGCTGTTTGAACAGTCATATTCAATCACGTGGCGTATGTTAGGTGACGATGCTTCAAATCGCAGTACCCTCACGCACGGACGTCCGCGAGTATCAGGATTTGAAGCTCGAGATGGATCAACTGATCGGCTGCATAAACGGTCGTTTTACAACACCCAATTGGTCGCCCATACGTTACATTTACGGCTGCGTGAGTCAGGACGAGCTAGCGGCGTTCTACAGGGATGCCGCCGTCGCTCTCGTCACACCACTCCGGGACGGTATGAATTTAGTCGCCAAGGAATTCGTTGCCTGTCAAATCAATACACCGCCGGGTGTGCTGATAGTGTCGCCTTTCGCTGGAGCCGGCGAAATGATGCATGAAGCTTTGATTTGCAATCCTTATGAGATCGACGAGGCTGCGGAGGTGATTCACAGGTACATGACTGTCCGTTTCAATAATAAAACATAAGGGAATTGTTTAAATAAAATAAATTATATACTATTTGTGAATCAAAGTTTCACTCTTTTATATTTTGTACTCTAGTTTTAATTAAGATACACTTTGATGGTCTACAACGAAGTAAAACGAGATTTAGACACTGATTTTTAACAGGGCGCTCACCATGCCCGAAGATGAACGCACATTAAGAATGAATCACTTACGTCGGCGTGAGAGGATATATGATGTTAACTACTGGATGAAGTCCTTCCTTCAGGTCATGGGATCTCTGGAGGAGCACGACTCCGTGGGCGCTACTACAATGCAGCCCGTGACTATGGATGATTTCGACGATTATTTAAGCAAGTAGGTATCAGATCTGTTAAAAAATGTGCATGACTGGGCCCGACCAGCGCATGCGCATGAACGGGAGATATCCATAAGGTAATATACATATATATATAAACAACGAGTATCGCGCGAGATTATTATTATCTCGAACTGATTAGCGATTCTCGTGTAAAAATAGCACTTGCAAGGAAAAAGGCTCATTGCATTGATGCCTTAATCGTTAAAGATAGTATTGTAAATCAGCTACGCTTTTAAGTACTTTTAAACCGAGCATGAGTTTGGGTACGTCGCAGCGTAACGATATGATGCGGCTATGCTTATGACGTCGTCGCCGATGGCAGTGACGACGATGAATTACGATGCACTTTGCTATGCGAGATGTATTGATCCTAAATATCCTGATGCCCGACTTGTAAATGGGGTGATTGAGATGGGGTGGGAGACATTGAAAAATCAAGAAAACGCTTTTATAAAAGCCGGCGGGCCCGCGCGAGCGAATGTTACCTGACTCATGACGAAAGCCGGATAACGATCCAGTGACAACCACATGTCCCCTAGGTACATCGGAGATAATCATAAATTGGCGCTTTTGTTGGATTACGATGGTACGTTGGCGCCCATCGCCACGCATCCCGACTTGGCAATCTTGCCGCTCGAAACGAAGAACGTCTTGCAAAGGTTGTCGAATATGTCAGATGTTTACATCGCGATTATATCAGGCAGAAACGTGATCAATGTAAAATCGATGGTCGGAATAGAGGGTATCACGTATGCCGGCAATCATGGACTGGAGATCCTGCATCCGGACGGCAGCAAATTCGTCCATCCAATGCCTGCCGAATTAGAGGACAAGGTGGCCAGTTTGATGCAAACGCTTCAGGAACAGGTACTATCGACCAGATTACTATCGATCCTTGTAATACAAATATAGATACGTGTTTGGACGTATTATCACTTGAAATATTTCTCATTGATAGAAGATGATGGATGATACGCAATGACTATGAGACTGTTAACGCGCGACTGTTACGCGTGCTAATAAATATTAAATCCATTTAATAAATATTAAATGAATATTAAATATTTAATAATTATGCGAAATCATTAAGAGATCGTGATCATAAACACATATTTATCCCGGTAAAGTCAACACATTTACGTGTCTTACTTTTCTGATAGCTCTGCAGGGACGGTGCTTGGGTCGAAAATAAAGGTGCGCTTCTCACGTTCCATTATCGTGAAACTCCGATGGAAAGTCGTCCCAGGATGGTCGATCAGGCTAAACGACTTATCGAGGGTGCTGGATTCAAGGCCTGTACAGCTCATTGCGCGATCGAGGCGAAACCACCAGTCGAATGGAACAAAGGACGTGCTTCTATTTACATCCTACGCACAGCATTTGGTCTAGATTGGAGCGAGCGTATTAGAATTATATATGCTGGTGATGATGTTACGGACGAGGACGCGATGAAGGTACAAAATCGTCTCTGCTGCTCTTGTCCGAACAAAAATAGTCAGCTTATCAAGACCGACATTTTAGATTAGTATATCATCAACATAGGAATTTAAACCTATTTGTTTTTATCTAGGCATTGAAAGGTATGGCGGCTACTTTCCGCGTGGCATCATCGCACATCATTCGCACGTCCGCGGAGAGACGTTTGCCTAGTACGGATTCGGTTCTGACGATGTTAAAGTGGGTCGAGAGGCATCTTAGCAGGCGCAAGCCTCGCAACAGCATCGATATTCCAGGCATCCCATCACGATTTCGACGGGGCAGTGGTGGTATTACGATGGAAATGTCTTATACCCCGCCAAAAACACCTCTCGAATCATAGGTGATGCTCAAATGTTCCCTGTTAGCATATCAGGTATATGTGGCGTGATATATATCATAGAATTATAATGTACTCGTAGCGTAAAGTCAGCCAACATAGACGAAGGAGCAAGAGATAATAAAAGAATCGCAGCTGAAAGCTGAAAAGAAGTTAACGAGGCCCATACCTAAACTTCATGTTGAATATAGGTGTTAAAGAGATTCGCGATCAAAAAGTCCAAAGAAACGAAATGATTCTTCTTAATTAAGAAGTACAATAACAATGTTATATATAATACAATAGAGTCGCTAATGCGGAGTTTAAGAAGTACGAAGAATCAAATCGTTACGTTGACTCTTTAACTTTGTCGATGTATTTTCTGATCGGTTAGATCCTAGCTCGAGAAAAATATTGAACTCGAAGTACATTATGATGTTTTCCATGCGACTGAAACTTCTATTTTGGCTCTATACAACAGAAAGATGTATATATTATATATCTATATTTTCGATGTACGTAATCTTACCGAATTCATAATTGTATACATGGAACACGATACGTATGTTTCTCCACGAAGATATAGCATTTAAATACTTAGTTTTTAAGTTCGCGTCGCTCAGTAAAAAGATAAACATTCGGCAGATAACACTGAATCCCGCACACTATCTTTATTAGCTGCGTTTTATCTCATTAATGATTTATATCATAGCAATAACAAAAGAACTTAGGATAATACTTACGAAGTATGTTTTTCTTTTCAAATGTTTTAATTAATTAATTTGTTTTTCTTCCTTTTTCTCCTCCTTATTTTATTAATAAAGTTCCGAACACACATATTACAAATATTAAAAATATTAATCATTAAATTTTTGGATAAACATGACGCTAAGGATTTTTCATTGGATTCTATAAATTTCTCTGAGAAAAATAAACGCATCGCGGGATAGGTGCAAGTTATTTCTGATATTAAAACTAAGTTCTTTAACAGAGCAATTGGAATCATTCTCGTGTCTAAGAATAGAAATTTAATTCACAATATTATAGACTGTCTATTTATCATACAATTATGCAATCCCGTAACAAGTTATCCAAAACTGGAGTGCCAATTTCTTTTTCGTGTCATACAATTTACAATAAAAATGACATCGTCACATAATTACAATGAACCTTAACGCATTTTCAGGAATAAGAATTATGCGCTCTGTTAATCTATAGCGAACGCGTAAATTGTGGAAACGTATGATTTCGTGCGAGACATCAAGAAAAAAGCAAAATCTAAAAAAAAAAGTAAAAAATAGATTTAAATTAAATTTTACACTTTTTGTAAGTAGAATAAGATATACGATGTATGTAAAAAAAAAAGTGGTAAGAGAAGATTACTGGTATTTATACTGGTATAATTGCTTTTGTGCGAGTGATAATAAATAAGAAACGGCTATGTTAGGATCTATGCTTTTTACTTAAAAAATATGTGTCGTTACGCATTTCTCCGTGCTGCCGGATAATACTGACTGATACAAACTGATACTGACTGGTACAAACTGGCAACGCGTATCCGTCTCTTGTCACGAGCTTGTTTTGAACTGAGGAACTTTACGAAAGTAACTCGGTAATGTCATTAGTTGCACAAAACACAATCCAATAAGTCACAATGGGGAGACTTTGAAGATGTAACGAAATTTAGTAATTTTAACAAATTATAATTAAGCAATGATAGAGATTTGTTCTGGGGTAAAATTGTATATGAAATTGTAAACGAATAATATATTATTTATTAAAAATTACCTCGAACACCTTATGAAAGGGGATTACTTTGGATTGACGACATTTTATTCTTCCTATACAATTTCGTTTTAAAAACGGGCTTTTTAAAATTCGTTTCCATAAAGTGTCACGTTTTATTCTACAATTGCTTTCTTTTAGCTCCCCTGTATTTACTTCTTTAATCTGCTTAGCGTTCGGAACATTCTTTCCATCTGTCACCCACAACGTGGCTCAGAACCGTTTATAATCTAAATTGAAATTAGTTTGCTCATTAATAAGTTAATTATTGCTGGTTGCACCGTAGAGCAAAAGAGTTTAGCGGTTAAAAGGTCAAACGTTGCGTAATATCTAATGAGCGATTAGCAATTAAGTATATAGATGAATATATCAACTATATCGATATCTCGGAGGCTTCGGCGCGTTGCGCGAGCGTCAGATTCTATAATCTCGTACTTTCGCCACTGTATTTATTAGTCAATTAAAATAATCGTCGGTCATTGGATAATGAATGAGACTGACGATTAGGTAGACGAGGGAGAAGAAGACGAAACAAAAAACGGCAATCAATATAAGGAAAATGTAAGCATAAAGCAAAATATAAATTATCGTTACATCGAGGATACACCTATCGGTATGCACAATATCATCTCTGTTTAAAGAATGTGTAGAAAAAAAAAGTATATGTGTACATAACGAGATATATATGTATAAATATACGCGTATACGCGCGTACAGAGTCCTACCACGTGCCCTTAAAACAAAAATCTCTATCCTTTCCCCGACTCCTTAAAAAAAAAAAAGAAAGAAAAAAGATAGAAAAATATTCTACATTTTATACGAGTACTTATTACTTGGTTGGTTTTTACCTCGTTATACCATGTTATACCATACTACCACTGTAAGTGTGTGTGAAACAGAAAACGAATCGCGCGAGATAGTGCGCGGGTAAACGATTAAAACTGTTTTGCTCCCGTCATTGTCGAGCCGACTACAAAATACACAGAGTGCAGAAATAAACGATGTTTATAAATCATTCTCGCACATTTTTCCTTTTTTTCCACGCTGCGCTACCTAGATCCGCTTTGGACGATCTGCGATTGGTGCGTTGGAGTTCAAAATACAAATTTTATTTGCAATTTGATGTGTTGTGTAACAAACTAAAATATTTGACAAACGAAAAATATTTGAAGAATTATAAAGTACACACAAATATATGAAATATGTATCATCTCATAAAACACGTATGAGTGCTATAGAATTATATACAAATGGTATTTAATAAAAATTGTATTCAATTTTTATCTGACGCGAATTATATACTGGAGAGCATTTAAAGTGGATTTGTAGATCATTTAAAGTCATTTAAGGATTTTTATAAAGAAGAAGAGGCAGATAAAATTTCAAAGGCAGATCTTATTCTGTAATTTTTAACGATAGTAACAATATCGTTATGTTATTGTTTTACCATGTATAAAACCTGCACAACGACAATGTAACAATATTATTACTGTTATTAAAAATTAGAATAGGAACTTTAGTTTTATTTGCAAAATGTATATAAATAAATCAAATTATATTATAATATTATAGCTCCGAATAAAGCAAACTTCAAGTTATTATGTTGTATTAAAAAAAGTAAAGCATAATTAATAAAATAATAAATAAAGAAACTTTTTCAATACATATGGCTTATTTAGATAGGAAAGTATAAGGTGTTCACTAGATACTTTCTAAGTACTTTATTTAAATTTATCCAAAGTTGAATTTGATCTATTTACATTTTCAGGCTATCTATGACGATAATCAAATATTATTGAATCTGCGAATTAAAAAATAAGAGCATAAAAAACCACAACCCAAGTTATAGTTTGTGATATTTAATTATTATTACATCAATAAAAACATTAAACGTTTCGACCACAATCTGGCCATCTACAGTAATTTAATAATATTCTTAAGATGCAGAGTTACATCAAGTTGGAATAAAATTCAACCGTCGTGTGTTATAATTGTAAAAAAACGTGTTTGCATCTATGCGACGCTGTATATATATATATTATATATATTAATATATATATTAATTAAATATAAATGCTACTTTACAGAGATCGATTAAACTTCTCCCGAAAATCGACTATTTCTCGAGAGAAGCTTAACCGATTGTTCTGCAACGATTGTAAAACGAGCTACGAATTTTACAATTTTTTTTTCTCTCGCAGGTGCTCTCGGTCCAATTTCCGTGGAACAGCCGGAGTATTATTCGCGACGGCGCGATTGCATTGCGATTGTTTGCATGCGATTTGATCGAGAGAAAAATTCCCGTTCCCCTCCCGCCTTCCAGGAATTTCATTTCTGCTACGGCAATAAATAATGATAGAACTGCCGAGCCGCGATATCGCCGTTTGTGTATCGCCGTTATTTTTCACGGCGTAACCTCTGATGTTGAGACGTATCTCAAGCCAGCGATTAAAAGTGTTTTTTTTACAAACCGATGTCACCGATGCGTGCCCGAAAGCGGAGCGGAGCGGGGCGGGGCGGGACGGAGCGGAGCGGTGACGCAACGAACCGTTACGAGCAACCGCGGATAATAATAATCGACGCGGGTAGGGGAGAGACGATCGCGGGAAAACACACGCGGATTTTTTTATTGTTATATTTTTTTTTATTTATTGTTTTCTAATCGATTCAAGCGAGGCTCCCGCGAACGAAGTGTTAATATCCATTTATACTTTCGATTCTCTATCGAATAATATTGAGATACGTATTTTTTTAGTGAAACGTTACGAATGAAATGTGTAACGTTGAATTTGTCGTCTTTTTGATAAAAGCAAATAATCGTTTTAAAGTGATTAAAAGTCCGCTTTAAATAATCTATAGAACTATCGTTTTAGATTTTAAGAGAGAATTTTACATGTAATTTTATTAATATTCGCATATTATGTATATATATGCACATTTTAATATATATTTATAATGAATATATTCTATTTCTTTTTAATATTATATTCTATATTAGACTAAATATATATATTCTATATTAGAATAAAAACATGAATAAAATTCTTTTCTGAATTTTCTGATACGAATTATAGATTGTATAGAACATCATAATTATAATTCTATTTTGACTTATGTAAGCATTTTATATATTTTATGTAGTTATGTTATATATTATGTTTATTCCGATTCTCATTTATTTTTCTTTCCATACAAAACTAGACTTTTACTGTAAATTTTGATACGAACTATAAATTGTTTAAAGTGGGCTCTATAAATTAATTCATATGTTGTATATATACATATTTAGACATATATTTTAATGGTTATATATTTTGATTCTCTTTAAATATTTTTTGTATTAAAATAAATTTAAAGAGTTAAAAGTGGACTATTAGGAATCGGCAACTATTATAATAGTTGCGCTAAATTAATAACAGTATTTTCATTTGTTTCAATGTAAGAAATCTTATTTCATTTTAATTATTTTCCGTATTACATGACACAAAAATATAAATAGAATTCTATCCTGAATTACGGATTTAAAATGGTCTGACGAATGTGATCCTCTTTTCCATGTGTCACTACTATGCGAATTAAGACGTGGAAGGAACAACTTTGGCGAAAGGTTCTGTTGGGCGCGGAGTAATCGAGGAAGAAGAGGACCCTCGATTTCCACAGCCCTTTGAAACCGGAATGGGCCCCTTTCGACGACCGTGTCGATCTCGAGTTGGAAACATCCAAATATTTTCATCAGACGAGTCCGTTTTGCGGAGGGTGGACCACGCCATTTTTGCGGAGGTTTCTTTTCACGAGAAATCGATCTCGAGCTGATCGTGGAGAGACCGCCTTTCACGCCGAAGATCCTCTCCGCTGCGCGAGCGAGATTCTTGGCTGAAGAAGAATCCCCGGACGATCCCCGCAGTCGCTGCATAAAGAGGCGGATTACACGGTGTCCATTTCAAGACGTACAAGGACCTTCGTCCATTCTCTCTCTCTCT